ATAAAGAGCACTCCCATTTCGATGAAAAGGAGAAACTATTGATATTTGTTACCCCATATATTTGGATTCAGTTTATTTTTTTTATCCTGAGACTCATGTGTATACAAAGTTTTCAATATTATTTTCGGTAATAAATTGAAAATTTATCAATTTTAGATCAATATGTTTTTCTATCAAGTCAACCAAAATTTTGACGCGTTATTTGACAATAAATTATTTTAAGCACGCTATTTATTTGTATCAATATGTTATTTTGGCATGTTATTTATTTTTACCAACGAATTAGTTTACTTTTGGTATACTGAGTTTAAAATCTAAGAAACAAGTATAAACTATTTATAAAAGAAAAAGTTTATCATCCATCATTCCTGCCATGTTTTGGATTTTGAGCACATTTTTGCATTTATAGACGAGGACATAGAAAAAAAAAATCTTGTACGTTATTAATTGGAAAACACTATAAATGTTGCAAGAATCTATTTAATTCATAAATTGTTTTGGTAACAAATCAAAGCGTTATGAATAATACAAGGCTAATACGTTATTTTAACTGATAAGCATTTTAACACATACATCATCTTCTGCAGAGACTAATAAGCAGGCAACCATTAGCGTCGAACTCGCCACTCATACCCTAAGAATCGATGGCCTAAACTTKGGATTTTCAAATTTCTCTTTTCTTGCAAGACAAGTCCACTAGACAGAAACTCAATAAGAGACTTTTACTCCATACACGGCATATCCTAGACTTTTCTTGTAACTTTGTAATCACACCCTAAACTTTTATATATTTGAACTACTGTTCAAATATATAAACCTATTGGAAAATAAATTTAGAATCATCTATGAACCATTAAACTCCAAATCCAATCCAGGCACACATTGCATAAAAGAGACATATCCTTCGTGGAAAGATTCATAAGAATCTCACTTAACAAATAATCTGGCAAATGACAAATCATACATTCTTGTATGTTTCTATAATCACCAGTAGATTTTTCCTCTGCCTTGATCCATGTGTAAACATGGTATTTCAGCCTTGTGAATTTTATAAAGAATCTAGACTCAAATAAGCACGAAAGAAAATTGAGCAATGAACAATATTCATAAGGTAAAGTGAGAAGAGCAATCACCTGAGAGCTAGGGTTTCAGAGTCGTCAAAAGATTAACCAATATCAAACGTTAAAAGCAATATAGTTAAATGATGGCTACGGTTAGATAAATGACTATAAAAGTCTATATATCATAGAAAACAAAAATTTAACAGAAGGAGATTACCTTTTCAATATCATACAGGTCAAACATAGGAAACTTAAAAACATGTCCACGAAAAATCTAAAGGTGTATTACGCTTAATAATAGGCTAGATATGGATCATTAATGGTAAAGAAACTAGTCTAGAGAGAAACAACTTCTTAATATTCCTTGAGCATGAAAATTTGACACTCACCAGACGTTTTTGGAATCCCTAAGATCTTGTCCATGATGTTTCCAAAACTCTCAGTTCCTTTAGCACTAAACAATTACTTTGAAAGTACGTTGCTAGTTTCTTATCACTTGCTTTCCCGACTGTCTTCAGCTCCACATACTCGAGAGACGATAAAAAACATTGCGGCACATATGAAAGATTTATTGCTTCTGGCTCTGGAAGGCACTTAAAATCCTACAATAACCAAAGCAACATTAATTCCAAAGAG